CCCTGAGCTCCCCAATCAAGTTTTTGTGTCTTTTTCTGTGATGTCATTAATCATATAAAGGGAATAAGGATGCAGAATTTCAGTCTCTCCTCAGAGACGTTCATGGTGTCGTGGGTTGGGTTAGTTTAACGACTCTGAACCCCTGGCCATCCACTGCATGAAGTATGTGGGATCATCAGATTGTCTTGTTTTGGAAATGCAGTCAACCTCCAGTTCTGCTGTTGTAAAGGGGGTTTCAGACTCTCAGACGATGAAGTCTGTACCACAGACACAGGATCTTCTCCTTCAACATCTTCCTGTCGGTTCATAATAATGTCAGATGTGTGAGAACATGGTTTCATGAAGAAACAAATGAGACACTGGATCTCATTAAGCAGTAAATCATGAATTTTAAACCAGAATTGAAGAGTCCGCTGAGGATTTCTTCAGCAGCAGCTCTTCATAAGCACCTATCTATCACCTGGAAATGAATCCTTTTATCTCACATGCAATGACAACATCAGAAATGTCATCTCTTCTGTTCCATCTGCCTTTTTTAGACACACTGAATGCGCCATGTGATGATGCGTGAATCTGTGGCTAAAGCGGTGACTCTCACTCTGGATTGAAGCCTCTCTGGTTTAATGACGCAGCTCTCTGGATATCTTGGCTGTTTACAGACCTGTGTGGCTGCTTCCAGTTATTGTCCGTGTGTGTAGTCGTTCTGGCTGGCTGCCTGGCTGCAGCGAGGAGGCTAATCCAGTGTGATGAGCCCAGGGAAACTCCTCCTGTGAGAACCATCTTTAATAGACAGATATGGGTCAGTGCTGCCACATGGACTCTCTGCTGGAGCTGTAGAGATAGTCGTGTGTATGAGCTGTATAAATGGCTTTTTTTCTTTAAATAGAAACAGTGGGATCTCCTGCAGTGTTTCACTGTTTTAACTGATTGTGCAGTGATAGCAAAATAAGCACAGACCAAACTTTAGCTTGAACACAGCCTCTTTACATAATTAAAATTGCGTCCCAGCAGCTGATTCAACTGATAGTGGTTTACATTAATTTACTAACAGGCAGGTAAGGTAGTTGTGAGAGTGCACAGTGGTGTTTGCAGCTGCAACACTGATTGATATTCAGTTTGTAAAAGCTTTTCCATTTCCAGTTTGAAACAGCTCTGGGTGATTCTGTCTGCTATATGTTTCATGTTCACAGAGGCCGAGACAGGTGTAAATCAGGAAGAAATAGAAAAAAGAAAATATATAGGAAGAGGATGTCTTCACTCTTACAGCATACTGGACAAGTGCGCTATGTATTACTCACCAAACACTGTAAATAAGAATCTTTGAAGCTGCAGAACACCAGACTTTTTCCTGATCAGGAGAAAATCCAACAGCATGCACAGTCAATATGTGGTGAGATGTTGTATGTGGCCTTTCTATCTTTACATCGCATCAGTAAAAAATGAATATTTTTATCACAAATGTCCTGTATGTATATTCCCATCCAAAGCCTTTTTCATGTTTCACTTATTATGTATATATGTATATACAGTGCACAGTGGGGTACTTTCTCATTCAAGTGAATCACTTTTGATATTGCACACATGCACAAGTTCTACCTATTATTAAAATTACAAAATTACGGGGCGCCCCGATGGCTCACCTGGTAGAGCGCGTACCACAGAGGCTTGGTCCTAACTACAGTGGCCATGCCTCACTGACCCGCACCGACCCGCGGCCCTTTGCTGCGTGCTCCCCTTTCCTCCATACTGAACATTTGACATGTTTAGGAGAGGGACACAAGACAGACAGGCAGCACAAAATCATGAGACAGGACAAGCCCTGCATACTGTCATGAAAAGGTTTTAGTGTGGTCCATATTTTCCACATTGTAGTAAGCAGCTGAATCCTACAATGAGATGCTTGTTTGTGGGCAGTAAGTATACATACATATATATATATATATGTATGTGTGTATATGTATGTATATATATATATATATACCGTATATATAAATGTAGGATATATATGACAGACAGCTGTCAGTTTTTTTTATTTTGCCTTTATAATGCATCTGTTTTCTTTGCCTCTGCTCCATTCAGTCTGTCATTCCTCACCTCAGCCTCTCCTGCAGCAGAGCAGCTCTCATCATTAGCTGAACATTTTCTCACTGTCACATGTGAACTGTTGAATTATGCATCGTCTTCCTGCTCAGAGTGAACAATGACGTGGATGTGAAATAAGCAGAAAATATGACTTGGGAATTCTCTTGTCAGCTTTTTTTGGTGATTTTTGTGTCATGATCACCGTCATGTTGTCGTCTGCCTGTCAGTCTACCTGTCTGTGCAGAGCGTATCCACCGGCCAGAGCAACAGCGCTATGAAAACACCGGTTTGCTGTGTCTTAGCTACAGTGTCATTGAGGTGTTTGCTCAACTCCTTAATCTGTTCAGTGTTTGCAGATGTTTGTGTGAGTGATAAAAGGCAGTTGTAGCAGGAGGCAGGACCTCATTACTGAAGGTACAGGCCTCCTTAGATACTGATAACAGATGCAGAGGTTTGTTTGTGTGTATGTGTGTGTGTGTGTGACTGAAATACTGAAGAGAGTGTTGAAGACGGAGATAAATAGTGATGTTTTCTGACAGCCCAGAATCCCTCAGGATTTAGTCCATTTCGGACGACTCCTCTGGTGCCAACGTTCAGTTCCCTTTGTGTCGAGAGGTGGAAAGTAAAGGTGTGAAGGTCGAGGAGGTGAATGTGTGTGTAGCTCCTCTGACTTTCGTGCAGGAGACTGGAGTTCATGATTTCCCTTCACTGTCCTGTCTTTTTTTTCAAAACTGTTATCAGGATCTTTTTCCTAACAAACCGAAGTGTTTGAGTTGCCTGACCTTTACCTTGCTTGTGATTTTTCGCTGTAATAACGATCTTTCCCCAACCTTCGCCGTGTCATAGTGACCATAAACAACCCAACAGATCGTCTGTGCAGCAACTTATTATGACCCACGGTTACTTTTTATTGTTAGGTGACCTCTAGCAGGATTAAAGGAGGGTGTCAGGTGACGTAGCATAAAGAGCAACAAAGTCTGCGTCAGGAGCAGGTTGTGGTGGATGGATGGGTCAACAAATCACAGGCAACAGCTGTTTGTTTCCTGTTTGGAACCAAGAGTCGTCATCATCTCTTTTATTAATGAACTGCGTGTTTCTTATTGTCACGATAACCTTATTGTAAGGCTTATTTTAACCCGAACAATTTCCTGAACTTAACCCTGTTGTAAACTAAACCAAACCAAACCGTGACCATTCCTTAAACTTAACTATGTGTTTATTATTGTCGCCATGACTATGAAGGGCTCTATTTCAGTAGATGCTCCTATAGGGCGTATCACGGATAAATGCCTGTTTGATCGTTCAGGTTGGAGGGCTTGTTGGAACAGGTTGGTTCTTTTTCGATTTGCAGTTTTACCACTGGAGTGTTTTTACCTGTGCAATGTTTATTCTCCACAAACAGCCAATGTACAGCTATAGATGTGTTATCTCTAGCTGTTAGCTCACTCACAATATTATTTGTGTGACATCTCACATTCGGACTGATCTCAAAAAGTCAATTCTTTCTGTTTCTTTCCTCCAGACTCCAGCACAGATTTTTGTCTCAAGTTGAAACACTTTTAACTCTCATGGACACATTCTGATTCATTCTTTCAATGTTTTCTGTGTCCACTTGAATCTTCCTGTTGTATCTGCAGTTTCCAATCACTACTTCTGAAATCCACTTCATGTTCACTAGTTCCATGTTTTTCTGTAGAGAAATACCTGCTTTGCTTCTGTCAGTCACAGGCTGATCTAACGGTGGTTAAATCTGTTTCAGGAAGGTTTTTTTTTTCCATTTATTGATCTAAACATTTTTGGTAGCTCATGTTTCCCGCGGGGTCCGTTGCATTTTTCATTTCCAACATCTCTGGATTGAGCTGAGGTGGAGTCTGTGAGATGGCAGGAAGACGGCTCTGAGTTTAGTGTGATGTTGGTGCTGCCAGCGAGGCCTGCAGGCGCTGCACGCTGAAAAGCAGTTGGCATGTTGTGTTTGATTTGCCTGCCTGCCGCCTCTCTGTCTCGTGTTTCTTGTTTCCTCTGATGTGAGGGGTTAAACCGGCAGAGCAGCTGTCATGGCTGCTCCCATGGATGCCGACACTGACAAAGCGGTAAATAAAAAGATTAGAAATGGCTTAAAACAGCGAGTAAACACAGTTTCATTCATGGCTAATCTGACTTTAGGTGGATTTACGCGGCCACTGCTCAGAGATCAGTCAAATTTACAGACAAAATGTATCTTCTGTTTGAAAAGACAGAGGATTATTGATTGAGTCTTTCTGCTTTCTTGGAATTCTTCTTTGTATATCTACCGCCAGTCATGTTGACTGAAATAAACGTGTTCTCTGTTTTACATTTTCTTTTTTTCTTTGTCTTAATAATGTTGGAGGAGCTCCCATATCCGCTGTTACACTGTCTCAAGGAAAGATTTTTGACACCTCTGCTAAACATGTTTATTTTCAACACTTCCTCTGACATTGTCTACACATATGAAATTTGGTATTAACTTACTTTAGTGTATAAAGCATTAGATTTTCAAATTATTATGCATTCGATTGAATGATTTCACCTGTTGATGGGTGATTATTAGGTTGTTACCATATTTGCGTCCTTGGTGAAAACAAACCTGAGACAATTTGCGAGCTTGATGCTGTTTGTCTCTAGATCTACAAAGGAAAAAGGTCTGCTCAGATATGATGCTGTTTTCATCTAGTGATTAAAACTCTTTTGCTTGTTGCACTTAGTGTTTCTCTGTGGATCAATTGGAAACTAAATGCCTGAAATATAAAAAAACTTTTGATCTTATTTCACTGTATAATGTCTGGATCTATAGAAAATCATTGGCTGTGATAAACTGCATTAATAGCCTCTGATTACTCATTAATTTGATTTGAAAAATAAAGACTAAATTCAGCTCCCGTCTCTTCTCTTCTGGGCAGGATGACAGTTCACTGAGCAGCGAGGAGGAGGCAGAGATGAGCGAGCCCACATGGCTAGCAGCTGATCTGGGAGCAGCGTCTGACCTGAGCCCGCCGAGTCGAGGAGAGAGGATGCGCCAGAGTCCCCAGAACACACACAGCAAGGAGGACGACGGTAAGGAGCATGAAGATAATGTCTTATCTGCTGTTCATTTCTTATTGCTGCTGCTGGATGCAAATATAGTTCTTCAGCCTCGTTTTGTTTTTGGATTCAACCTGTGAAGGACCAAGTATCTTCAAAATGAATTTTGAGTTTTTAAAAAGCAGCCTGAAACCATAACTCAGGTGATCACTAGAACCTTTCAGCCTAAACACAATGTCCCTCATTCCCTCATTTGGAGTTTCAGGTGATGGTGGAAGGAGAGAAACGCTCTTGATCAAATGAAAGAGAAAACACCCAGTTATCAGGAGTTATGATTTATAGATCAGCATAGGCTTTTACCCATGTCACTGCAACACTATAAAAATGTGTCATATGTGATCAGGCTGTAACATGCTTTCATTACATTCCCCACTAACCGTGATATAGAGCGATGGCGTGTTCTAATGGACTGGATGTGTTTCAGTTCTTTCATTCACTGTGATCACTGTGAGCAGAGGAATGCCTTTGTTAGCAGCAAATCACGGAGACCTTTCCTTCAACTCCCTTAGTGTTCACTTCACTACCAACACTTAACTCTACACCAGCATTATGAACTAGGAGGAAAAACCACAGGCAAGCCAAACTGACCAATCACAGCTTCCTGGTCTCCATGTGACATCTCTGTGGCTTTTTTTTATTTTCTATTTAGAATGAACAAACCTTACATTTTGAACAAGGTCTCATTTGTTTATTCTCACCGCAGCTGAAGGTCACAATTCATTTGTAAGTAATAATCAATAATCACATTTAGTTGTTCCTGTTAATTTCAACATTGCTTTAAAAAACAAATGAAAGTTTTTCACATCATGTGACGAGATGAGCTTTGACAAAGTGTTTTTCTTATCTCTCTCCCTCCCTCTCTCTCTCTCTCTCTCCCTCCCTCCCTCCCTCCCTCCCTCCCTCTCTCTCTCTCTCTGTCTCTCTCTCTCTCTCTCTCTCTCTCTCTCTCTCTCTCTCTCTCTCTCTCTCTCTCTCTCCCTCTCTCCCTCTCCATCACTGTTACACGGTCATAGTTTCAAGCTTCAGATAGTACGTGTGTGTGGCTGTGTTTTGTTTTATTTTGCACATTGAGTTGATCAGATTTTGGCTTTTTCAGCCCATTTACAGTCCAGAGTCCAGACTGTTTGATCCTTGGAGGAACTATATAATAATAATTATAATAAAAAGGCAGAGAGGATTAAAGTGGTCGTGTTGTGGACGCTTTCTGACAAACTGGTTTTGGAAGGCCATCAAATTTTTAATTCGAGGTCAGGTCCGTCCCGACCTCTTTGTTTCCTCTTTCCCTCAGAGTGTCTCTTCATACTGAGCTGTCACTCTTCTTCTCTCTGCTACCCCGTGTCCCTTTGTTTCTCTCTGTCCTCCCACATGTTCTCGCTTTCTACCTGCCTCTCGCTCTCCTCTCTGTCTTCCTGGCTTCTCTACTCTCTTGCTTCTCTACTCTCTTGCTTCTTGCTGCCTGTCACACTCCTCTTCTCTCTCTCTCTCCCTCTCTGTTTCTCTCTCTCTTTGTCTCTCTCTGCACTGAAAGGCCTCCCGTTGTGAGGAGCTCTGCCTTTGAAGGCAGACATATTGTTTCATAATGCTGCAAGGATACAGCAATTACCTGCTAATGTAACAAGTGGGCTGTGTGTGTGTGTGTGTGTGTGTGTGTGTGTGTGTGTGTGTGAGAGAGAGAGAGAGACCTATCCCATGCATATTTGAATGGTACTGCAATGCACTGAACCCAATACTGTGTCACTGTGTGTGTGGCTGCGTCTCCCTGCCACTCCTTTAAAGTGTTACTGAGCAAAGGCAATAGGGAAGTAGTGTAGTGAAACAAGCCTCCTCGTCCTGTGTGTGTGTGTGTGTGTGTGCGCGTGTGTGTGCGTGTGTGTGTGTGTATGGTGATGTGAGCTGAGTTGACGGTTCAGTGCCAGGCGGGAGTAAGTGCTCCAACCAATCTCCATCAAGGTCTTTCTCTCTCTGCTGTTGCTCCTCCATGTTTCTGCTGGATGAGGGAGGAACTAACAATTATTTTGGAGACGTTCTTAAATGTTTTGTTCGATCAATTGTCCAAAACCTAAAGACATTCAGTTTTCAATAATATAAAATGGAGAAAAGTAAAAAATTCTAGAGACAATTAAACGATATCAAAGTATTCCTGCTACATATACTGTATACTGTAATGTATAGACCCCTTTGACTGTCCTCAGCACTTATTTATAGCTTATCACTTTGTCCAACTTTTTATCATAGTTACATATGTTCTCAACAGTGAGTGTATGATTGATCTCGTACAGCATAAGTTTGATATTAAACCACTGATTTAAAAGACACACAGATAAGTATCAAAATACCCAACCTGGAGATTCCATTAAGACCAGAGTGAACACACCACAGCCGCCGCTATCAGCCATTACCACCAGCCTTAATGGGTCTGCTGCATTCATGTCACAGCGTGCAGATCGTAAATATGAGCAGTGGAGTTGGAAAACATTCACAGCTTCTTACAGTAGTACAAGAATATTGTTAGTTGTTTAGATGTGTAAAATATCATATATTTATCTTTTACCTGACGACAACTTTTACCTGACTTGTGTATGAAGCAGAGGTGGAAGTGTTAAACCTCATAGTGTTAGTCTTTGTGCCTAAACCTAACCAAACTTTAACCATCACAGTCATATGAATGATTTTTATGATGGTTATTCATAACAGTTTTGGAAGGCACAGACAAACTACAGTATGTTGGCCATATGGGTGTGAAAATACTCGTATATGTACTTTGTTGTTTAGTTTGGAGGACTTGTTGTAATTTGGATAAAAATTGTGAAATTTCTGACAATATCTCCAACTGTTGAAAATATCCGTTGAAATGTCAAAGCCTTGTGTACCAGCAGTTCAGAGTAAATCCAATCCAGTATTAAAACTACATACAACCCATGCAGCTATTTCAAAAGAGCCATATTGTCGACACAGTCTGTTGGTATCTTGTCAGTGAGCTGCTACATATATGTGCCACGATAAAGATAGTTATTATATTCTTATTTCTATTTATATAGTGTGAATACAGGCGCAGCAGAAATGACACATGGAAGCTCCCAACTAACATGTGTCTCTCTTTGTACAGTAAGTGAGGGACTGGATATAGACTGACTCATTGATTCATCAGTGATGGAAAATAGAAAAAATATATTTTCTTTATATGAAAATGCCATTTTCTAGTTGGATGTGTTGGATGAGAGAAGTAAGGAGCCTCAGGTGTGTTGGGACATTTCATAGAGGCTGAATGAAAGACAAGAAAAGACTGGGAGGTGAAACTATATAAATGATGTTTGGAAATAAAGGGGGCGGTTGGCAGGGGGGGGTGAAGAAACCTGGTGGAAGAGGTTGAAAGAAAGAAACTAGCATGAGATGAGATAGTTGGAGAGGATGGCATCATGGGATGGTGGAAGGACAGCGGAGGCCAGGTGGAGAGTGTGTGTGTGTGTGTGTGTGAGAGAGAGTACAGTAGGTGGCAGAGTGTATAAAGCCTTGTCATTAAAAGGTCACTCTGTTCCCTACGCCTCATATAGAAGCCAGAGGAGGGTTGTAGGCGTCCAAATGCCACAACACTAAGAGGAGCTGAGAGGCAGAGTTGAAATGCCTTTCCTGCTCAATTAAACTCTAATCCAAAGAAACAGTCAGGCAGCAGAGCCTCCTCTTATTCCTCTAATGCACGGGAGTGTTAGTAATGTATAAAACACTTGGGTTGGGTTGAGGTTTGGTTGAGTTGATGGCAGATATATGGATCTATAGGAAATGGGGAAATGCGCATGGTTCTCAGGGGTCTCTTTTTTATGTTTTTGAAAATGAAAACATTGTGGAAAGTACCTGAATCTTGAAGTTTAGGGTTTCGATCAAAAGTGTGAGCTTCTTCTGACAAGATCAATGTGTTGCTATCACAAAACAAAACAATTCAGAGACATGAAATTTACTTCTTTTACATTTAATGTTTAAATGAGTCTGCAAACCCTTCATGTTGACGTTCACTTCCACTTCAGTGGTGCTTTGCAATTACCACAGCTGTGTTTCCTCTTCTCCTTCAGCAAAGCTTTTTAAAGTAAAAGCTGAAATATTTTTAACATGCATTGCTGTGTTTTCCCTGAGCTGAAAGCCCAACAAACTCCCAGCACTGTGGGGATCTCGCCGCGGCGGCAGCAGCAGCTCTTTCCTCTGACAGAGGGGAGATGGAGGAGATGGAGGAGCTGCTGCTGCTGCTGCTTGGGTTTGAACATGCAGCCAAAGAGCTTGTGGTTGATCTGACTTCCCAGAGTTAATATCAGGTGGGTGTTTTCCTAACCAGCAAGCTGTCAGGGTATTCAACTGGAGTAGGCAGCTCATTTCAGCACAGCAGATGGTCCACACACACACACACACATAGACACACACACACTTGTACGTCCGTGTCCAGCTCAGAAGCAGCCAGTAAATCACTTTTAAGAGCTTCTGACCGCCACCTTGCTTTTCTTCTTTTGTGCTCCACTCAACGGTGACAACTGAAGTGAAAAGCTTTTATTGTGATGGGTCAGATTGGCAGTTTTTAAACCTGTGGCTGATGAGTCCTGGAAAAACTGGTGTTAAGAGTTGCATAAAACAGAACAGCTAGTGGCTTTACAGTCTGCTGAGCAGAAGATTATTGGACTTTCCAGAAAAACTGAGCAAGTGAACTGAATCAGAAATATATCACGTCCTTCAGATCACCCTGAGGCAGACACAGTGGTGATCCTAGTCTGTTGCGTGACCGCAGGCAAAGAATCCCATTGAAGAAATTGGGAGCCCCTTTTCCCCTCGGGGGTGCCTGGCTTGCCTATCCTGACGGTGCGCCTCTGGTCAGTGAGCATGTTCTAAATTATGGCACCTGAATCTGTATATGACACAAGTTGTTGTTGTTGAGTTCTGTTTTGTTTGTTTGTGTTATGCCACTACACAACATAAAGCTGAATAAATGCAACCAT